CCAGTGCGCGTTCCATCAATTTCAAAGAAAACAATGAACAGTGGTTGAAATAATAAGGGATTTGACGGATCAAAAACACTCGTGAAGTGTAGGGAATACCATTCAAATTTCTTTCTTTCAACAACATGTAATTGGTTAATCCAATTATTTTCCGCCAGGTAGAAGGGATGCATGTTGCCGCTTTGCTTCTTCCTAACACTATGAATCAGCTTTGACCTTTGGCCTGCGAAAGCAGGATCTAACAACATTTCGTGTGCGATGTCGTCTCTCTTGGTGCAAACACTGTTCGCTCGTGGCAACGTCCAGAGCCCTGCTGTCTAATTTTTCAAAACAAACAGTTGCAATTGTCGTTCGCAATGTGACGATGGATAGACGAGCCTGAAAAGCAGGTAAGGCCGATCGCTCAAGATCATGTCGATATACTGCATTCCCCCATGTGCTGCTGTCGTTCCGAGAGTGAGAAATCCATAACACTTTGACGTTCGAAAAACAAAATACATTGTAATGACGCTGGAAGCAGAATACTGGTAAATGCTGTGTGTCATGAGAAAGTATGATCTTAAAAGCACGGAGAGATAGGTATATATGTGTAATGTATTGTAACCTTGCACCTAAATCTCGCAAAATCTTGCAACAGCAAACAAACTAACATTTAGATATGGTACTGTACGTTATAGAACCATCAATGTCAGGGTCGCCTGGGCCAGCGGTGTTGTGGGGCTGCTACATGCCAGGTTAACACCTGAAACGTGTCCGGCCGTAATTGTACTTGTCAGGAACCACGGTCGGTATTATTACTACTTTTGCTCCCAGGCATCGGTAAGGAGGGGTGAAATTGTTCTTACGATAGAAATGTTTCCCTCTCAGAGGGAACGAAGCTCGCCGGCCAGGAAGCTGACGCACACTGTGGGAGAGATTCAATCTCACAGTAGATGCTGGGAGATAAGATCATAACGTTGTCGATATATCTACTTGCACTGTCTCCTTGGTAGGGTTGTGTGGAGGGGAAACTGTGGCAAGATATAGAATGTTTTGGTCTTCCCCTCCTGATGACATTTGATGGAAAGGTGATGTCTGAAGTATGTTTTGTCTGCGAGAAGTTAATGATTGTAATTATTTATTATAGACTATCTTGAGATGATCTTTACGCCGCTTCAGAAAGCAAAGCTTAAATGTTCTCCCTTCTGCCTTTAGTTTACAAAACTGCCCACGGTATTTGGGAAGCGAAGTAACGTTACAGGGTTGCCTGCATGGATCATGAGTCAATGTGCCATCCCGGATGTTACAGCTACATGCGTGTTATCGATGTCTCTATTTTTGCCCCTTTTTTCGTGGGACAAGAATTTCTAGTGGGTGGTTTGCTTCAACTTTACTGATTCAAGTTGCCAGAAGGCCCCTGCGCTTGTCGCTGTGATTCGTTGCGATGATTTTTCTATCGCAAGGGAGGCCAAAAGTCAGCACTCTGTGACCGTTACCATGTCAGAACTCCGTATTCACAAAAGTAAACATATGTGATAGGAAAGAAACAGGATCTAATTGTTATCAAAACACACGGAACGTGCTGCTGTCTCAACACACGAATTTGTTAGAAGTGTGCCCACTGGTCACGCAACTACATGACTTTCCCAATATCTGCAATTTAGGGCCTTACTTGACCAAGAAGTTATATCCTCGCCTGAAACACTTCTGGGCGAGAATTAGCGGTGCAAATTCTTTCCTTCCTATGGGACCCACTTGCAGCTGTCCTGTACCGTATCAAAACTGAACGCTGTTCAAAGTTACAAACACTGTTCTGTATCCTCTCTATTGACTGAGCCTGTAGATAACCTGGGGTAGCGTGTCTACCCCTCCATTCCTCAGGTGAGTTTATGTATGGGCGGCTGTCATCAACAGCCAGTCAACCTACCAACATGCAATTTTACACTTACTGTGTGCCTTGCATACTTGCTTTTCTGATTGCTCGCAATTGTTTATGTCCACATCATAGCCGCGTATTGTCCTGGTCTTATTGCCACAACAGCACAGGTTATCTGCAAAGTGGACATGATGGCAGGTGGTCGGACCGACCATTTGATTAGAAAGGGGGTGGAGGAATAAGTTTAAGCATCGGACTGATTGGAAAATGTATGATCCCTTCTTTGGAAGCTGGAGCTTCGCTTCAGGCCGGGGCTGAGAAATGATGGTTATAATGGTTTGTTTGTTTGTTTGTTTTCTTATTGATCGGTCGGTCGGCCGGCCGGGTGTGAAACTACTTCATTTTTGATGGGAAAAATGTTACATATTTCGTCAGGACTGGCTTAATAGTTCGAATTCCCACACAGTTTTGTGAATAATTGCCTCAAACTTTTTACCATTTTGCGGGTCGAAAAAAACACCGTTAACTGCGAAGGAGATGACTCAAATCAGCGTGTTACTCTTTCATTTCAAGGACACAAAGGACGGATAAGCATAAACCCATTCGTTATTTCTTCTGTAGGTTAAAGTGTCACAATACAGTTCGAAGATAGCTGGAAGTGAGTTGTGTTTTCGCGAGAGATAGAGATGACAGATTGAGGTTGGAAGGACATTTGCCAATGTTTTTTAAGAATAGCAATCGTGACCTCTGCCAAATCGTCTCCACTGTTGGTGGACACGAAAATTTAAACGTATAGATAAGCGAATTTTCCACTTAATGTTTCCAAGACCATTTCCTGGCGCATACATGTGTTTATTCCATAAGAATTATCTACGAAGGACACAATTACCTACGTTGGTTGAACAATGAATGCTGGCGTCAAATCGACCCTTATCACCCATAGGCATCTGCGCATCTCTTCTCTTAACGCATAATGCATTGATACGTTAAAGAGAGTGGCAAAGATGGAGTGAGATCTTTAATGTGGACTCTATATGCGACAGGAAATTGATGTCTCTACAATTGATTTAGAGTTTTACTTGTAGTTATAGAAGATAAAGTTGTCGGAGGGCCTCTCAGATTCTGCTTATCAGAAAACGCAGCATCCGTAGCCGGGGACATTGAAGGGTCCTGGTATTTATTAGACAGAGAGGGTTACCTTGTTCCCTGAGATAGGTTAGGCCTGGGGGGAATACAGCCGCAGGGTTCTGTCGTCTGCCGCACGGAGGACTCAGGAAAAGTTCAGCCTGTCATGTCAATGTGAAAGTCACCCTCCCAAAGTTTCCTTTCTTCTTCAATCCCGTTGAAGAGGTTCATCAGTCATGAAAGATTAACAGTTAGTAGAACATTCATCAATCAGTGACTGTTTGGAAAGATAAAACACGTACATGTTGAATGTACATCTTCTTCAATCCCGTTTTTTAAAAGTTAATGGGGACATGAAACACACCATGGATCCTATAATAAAACACAGTACGTTCAACGGATCGTTGCACCACATAATGGTACTCCTTAATATAATAAATAAATATGCTCTGGCGGTAGATTCGTCCAACCCTGCCAACCTCAATCTAAATCTATTCTAGTCCCTCATAGATCAAAGGTATCGATCCTCTTTGTTCAAACAACTGTTGGCACCATTTCTCAAACCGTTAGATTCGACTTCGGTTGCAAAAAGTTTACGTTTTGTGAGACATGTTGGAGCTAGCGAGTACTACACCATGGACAAGTTAAAACACCCACCACTTTTATCGATTAACTTCCCCTTTTGGTTACTATGGGATGTCTATAACCGATTTCCTTCGGAATTTTTAGTACCGGCCTTCGGCTATTTCAGTTTTCACCGGGTTTACGAGTGATTGTTCTACCCATCCTATTTCGTTTGACCACTCAATTCGATTTTCTGAAGGATTCATTCTACCGATTTTGCCAACCACACTTACATAATCA